ACTAAAGAACATAAAAGGGTGGGGAGAGAAGCAGAAGGAGTAAACTACTCGCCAGAGAAGTTTTAGCGAAGGCGGAAGATCACAAATGGTGATTCGTAGTTTGGAGTGGTAAGGGAGTCTTCCGGAAGACAGCAAACCCCGTAATCCTCCCACAACCAACCTCGTGGAGGTGGAACTCGGGCTATCGCACGTTTTAGCGTTCGATGACACTCCCATCCATCAGGCAGAGAAAATTGTGATATCTAGGTGGATGGATAACACTTGCAAGGGGGTAGAAAAGGGTCTATCAAAAAATGCCCAGGCAGTACGGATTGGACACTAAAGCAAACTCCATGAGAGGTGTTAATATCCACACAAGATCACATAAACTCATAAAAAACTGCCAAAAAGTAGAGAAATTTCAAACAGATATACTTCTTGCCTCAAGCATCCATTGGCCGTACCCTATTCCAATTTCAGCATGAAATTTATGAACAATAGTCAAATTTACTTTCAGCAAAGTCAGACTTACCGATGCGCCAGTATCACTTAGATAAACTAGCTGAGTGGAGGGCAAAGCAGTCAGCAAACCCACTGACTTGTCACTCAGAAAGGGGTTTCCAGAGACGTCTATAATGATAAGACCAGATGATTTGTAGTATCGACCATGTGCGGTGAGCGAGCGAACGGCGTCGTTGCTGAGGTGGTTGTAACGCAACGACAGAAATCGGAGTGTCGGACTGGCGGCACCAAGAAGGGGTAATATAGGCAAGTGCTGCGTACCCAAATGGCAGGCATCGAGGCAGAGCGAGGTGAGACTGCAACCGCTCAGCAACCCAGTTATCCACACTGTGAGGAGGGGAGACGGTGTTAGCCGAAAGGAGGAGAGAAAGGCAGCTCCATAGGCCTCCGAAAAAAGCCTAATATAGGAAGTCAGAGTGTAGATTGTGAAGGAATCCTGTTTGAGTAAAATGGCTCTCGAGATCTGCCTGCCCAAGTGATCAGGAACGCCGCGGAGATCGGCGATGCTGCAATAGTTTTCGGCCAACTTGAGGCAACATAAATGTACCAGCGGCAGCATACTACAATGAAGCTGCGATAAGTTTGCGCACCCACACGTGCACAGTCCTCTTGACCACTTATGGACAATTAGAAATACACATTTATGCACTTTATTCGTACTGTTTGCACAAAATACATTATCGTCGAGGATATTTCTCGGTATAACAACGTCCGCCATCAGCAGAAATGCTTATGCGACAGTGCTGATTGAGTAGTGTGCCTAAGACAGCAGGAACAGGAAGGGGATCATCGAGAGCAAGTTTTTCCGGATCCTCCAACTCGTCCAACGGCACCGTCTTCTCATCCTCATCTTCCGAGTCAGAGAGAACGAGAACTTCGCTCTCAGTGGCTAAATTCAGATGCACACAATTGAGTTTATTAACGGAAGCATCGACAACCAGATCGGCAACATAACCAGCAAGCTGGGATTCAGGCCACATCGACTGACGAGCGAAGAGCGCCGTCAAGCGTGCTTCCACAGAGTCATCAGGGAGATCTTCACTTGGTAGGTAAGTGATACTCCTCTGTTGGGTGAGGGAGGAGACCTCGCAGTAAGCACGACCAGTGCAGGTGAGGTGCCGATGTAAACGTGGCTGCAGGCCGTGGGGTACGGTGGCACACCAAACTGATACAAAGTCGCTGAAGGCTATCTTCCCTGTGATTGACAGTATGCTCTCGCCAATGAGACGACAAATTTTCCCGCGTCGTGGAAAAATCGCCCTGTTCTCTGCACACCTCTTACGATAGAAAAAGCGCTGGAATACCTGATGGAGAACGGATGAAGGATAGAGATCTTCCAGTCGAGTTATCACATCTTGAGGGTTAGAAAAACCCGTTTGTGACCAGTTCAATGATAGCTCATCAGCCATGTCAAAAATTGCCTGTAAAACCTATAGAGAGATGAGATAAGATAGTACCCAAACAAAATGGAATAAATAAGTCTAAAATGAAACAGAGTAAACTTACACGACTAAGGTAATCCAACTGAAACAAACGACAACAGCCTTCCCATGGGAAGACGTTAAGTCTGTCCATAGCATATAGCAGTTCAGCTTCGCTACATGGGATCGATATGCAGAGTTCCTCAAATGTAGAGAACTTGGCCAACTCGCCAATTTGCGCATCATCTTCTTCGATATGATTGGAGAAGGCTGCAGGTAGAAGATATTGTTTTAATTTACGAAGACTTGGTGCTCGGATGGTCAACAGTTCGAGGTACACCGTTTTAATCGAAGCTACAGTGCATCTAGTGACCCTTGATTCATCCACCGTCCAAAACCTGTCCAGTGGAATTGTCGGTATTTTCAAATCAGGCACCAAAAGCAGAGAATTTGATGTCTCCGCTTCCAGGAAACGCTGTGTTGTCGTAGCGGTGCACAAGAACGCAGGACTATCACCGTGACTACTGTTTTCTGATTTGATATTCGCAGCGAATTCAGTTGAATAGAGTAATTGGTCCGCCAGCGCTGGTGTGATTTCGAGAAGATAAGTATCCCTGTCGAACGGGTTATCACTTAGGATTACTAACTGGGAGCTTTTAAGGAAGTTTTTTGTGACGGAAGATACATGTTCTAGCAACTTGAAAACATCACTGTCCGACCTAGACGGAACCATTGAACGAGTTGTACCGCCTTGACCATCATAAAGGCGTTGCAACAGTTAAAAACAACCGAAGTAAAAGGCCACTGTTATCAAGATAATGCATTAAGTACTTTTCAACCTTTAAGTATTAATCAGTTAATTTTAATATTAAGTAACTTAGGCATTAAGTTTGTTTATGTTGTGCACGTGTATAATGTAAGAAAACCGTGCAAGAACCACAATATTATTTGTTAATGCAAGGTTTCAAGGGATTTTTCAGATTTGTAGAAATTTGTTAACATGACAGCCTTTGACAGTTAAAATTTTTTGCATACCTCAGGAGATTCGGAAGGCTGTATGTGTAGCCACCCGAGACCCCTCTGGGGACGGAGACATAACACTCGAACAGAATATGCGTATTAGGCACACAGAACATGTTAGTGCTACTTGAGTGACCCGAAGACCAGCCCACCTAACGAAGTGCAATGTTCAAGTCAAAATGGCCCTTTATTAAGACCGACCGCCAAACTAACAACCAACGTATTACATAGGACTTCTCCTCTCCCCAGTGCTCCCCTTAGTCAACCTCCGCGTCAGCCACCACAGCGTTGTCGGTGCTGTGATTAAGCACTCGTAGGCCACTCGTGTTGCAAATCAAATTTCTATGCAACTTAGGAGATACTTGATCGCAGCGTTAGTGTAGCGTCCCGAGACTCCCTGGAGTGAATGAAGACAGAATACTCGGGCAAAATATATATTCAGCGCAGAGAAGATGTCTGGGCTATTGGCCTGGCCCGAAAGCTAGCCCAGCCAGTGAGGTACAAGAAGGCTAATTCAAGGTACAAAAAGTGGCGCCTCACCAATACCAGGTGATAAACCACTATCGTATTACATTAATTATCCCCGTTGGCAATTCAGTTGGATCTGAAGTTTCATCCGGTTTGAGAATTGGATTTAGGAAAGGACGATTCTGCTGGCCATCATGCATATCCTTAGATAAACGAAGGAACACTGGCCTAAAAGCCGATTTGTGTAAGAAAGGACGGAATTTAGCATAGGTCCTTGGGGAAGGGTTTCGCGTCTGTTCCTCCTTGCCATGTTGTTCTCACCTCAGAACTGCTCATTCATATCTATCCGGACTCTATCTAGCTAGAAGGGAGATGAAGGAGGCATCACGAGTTTACTTTATTAACAACCTTATGCGAGTACGGTGGGAATTCTCTGCACCCAATCTTTTCCTGGTGTTTCAAGGCTAGTGTCACTTCAGTTGTCAATAGCTTTCCTCAGAACATGGGACTGGGGAAGTTGCCGAAAGTAGGCAGCAAATTCAGCCCATCGTTTGTGGTCATCACCATTTCTACTATTTGTAGCATATGAACTTCTTCCTCCCAGCTAAGGTTTATCACTCGGCGGTAGAAATCTAGAAGTATCTTTTAAAATCGGTTCATATTCCGCTGCCACCAATGTAGCGCCATGAGACTTCCCTAAAGATGAAGGAAGGCATAATACTCGGACAGAATATATATATAATGTAGATATTCGACATGCGGAAGGCATTAGGGCTACTCAGATGGCCCGAAGGCCAGCCCACCCGGCGGGGTACAGTGGCAAAGACAAAGTGGCCCTTTACCGAAACCGACCGCTAAACATGAGGTCTGGCGGTTGTAAAGTGGGTGCTTAAAGGCCAAATTATTTAAGTATACTTTTGAAAATATTGCTCCCCATTATTGCCTTACTAAGAGCCATGCTGTTATTTGTGAGATTGAATTTTAACGATGGAGTGTCATTCACTTTGTTAAATGTATAAGTACATGGGCTGTGTACGAGATCTACCAACAAGTACAGCACCCTGAGTTTTCCTCACAATCAAAGAAACTACAATAGTAAGGCAAAAAAATATTGACGTACAGAAAGGCTGAGAAGCCACTGGCATTTTCTAGGGGCATTAACGCCTAGTTCAAATGCGGGCAACAAGGACTTAAGTGCCTGTGGAAACGTCTGGACCCATATTTACCCTGGAATGTAATACAATCTGAATTTAATTAATGTTTCATGTCTCTATTATGAATAGTGTGCATGTGGGCTTCCCAGCCTCTGGAGTTTGCATCTCCGCCCGAAGTCAAGGCCCTTTGCTCACCCCGGGTCTTATTACGTTAGAAACTAATCCGCCTCCGTACTGACATTACTTGATACAGCTTTAGGAAAGGCTTATAGCGCTGCATATATGTACACGCACCCAAACAAGCCATATTTTCAAAATCCCATTGTGAGGAAGTTAGCAACTGTGCGACAAGAACTGACGCAAGCAACCCAAACTCGCACATACTGCCCAAAAACGAACAAGTCTTCACACCTTTCCTCGCGAAACGGCACTAGGCGGCATGAGAACTACATCCTAGCATCTCCAAAAACTATCTTTCCACTCTTGATATGGATAACACCGCAATACCGGAGCAAACCGTTACCTACTTCATCGGACCACTGGTTCACGCAGGTCATTCAGTCTCCGAGTTCCCTACGACACAGTTGCCTGGGACGGCACAGCACACCGTCCTCCGTTAACAGACAGATGAATTGGGGAACATTCGCACCTAAAAACTACAACACTCCCGTATGCTTTCCACGACGTTTGCATACACCTTGATGCACCCAGTGCCAAACAAAATCTTGTTCCCACAAAAAGACGACTCCTGCATGCGAGGAGCGCTGAAATACTTTCGAGATCGGGCATTTGATTTGACAAAAACACTATGAGTATGTAGCGGTTACTTGGTTGAAATAAGTAACACCGGAACAACGTATTTTGCCGTAAAAAGAAGACGCTATGAAAGACTTATCAAGTGTATGCAGGGACAAATATATGAGTGTCATATAAAGAAAAGGCTAAGCAGAAATGATTGGGAGTACTCCTAAGATAGGAAGGGTGGATGGCAACGCTTCAAGGTCCTATGAGATGGTACACCTGGAGTCACCTTTTGAGAGGCCCCAACGTACCCACTTCTCGCTGCTCTCCGTGTACGGTGGGTAGCGGAACCTACAGTTGGAGAGCAAGAGGAGGTGATTGAAATACGCCACTACTGATATAAACGGGGATAGTGTTGAGGAAAATAAATTATCAGTCGGAAATGAGGTAAATGCGCTTCAATCTTTGGCATTAAAATAAGCATTTATAGACTGGAGACTCGTTATTAAGGGGTGAACGGGAAAAATTTAGGTGAAAGAATAAAAACTGGAATTACAAATTGTTGAATTTCTCCACGGTAGACTTATCCAACAGCGAGCGAGGGTTCGAAAAGGCGTCGATGGACGCTTGGCCAAAGTATCGCCCCGTGCCGGAGTTACCAACACCACCGAAGGGTAAATTACGTACTAGATTGAGGTAATGAGAAAGAGAATAAAGTCATTCTTCCACCATTATCACCGGAGGCCTAAAAGCCCCTTAACAAGCTGTAGCATGGCAGGAAACATGCAACCACGCATCTGACTATATCGGCTTCTCCAGTCTCCCGACATGCGGCCCTCATGATGGCCGCACAGTCATCCGCTCATAGCAGCCGCAGTTCCAAGTGCCAACGATGTTTTTTAAGAGTAATATTATAATGTAAAACCCGTTTTCGTCTAAGACAACCAGTTTTATGAACCATTGTTAAGTTTGAAAATGATAAGATTTAACCCGGTGGATCCGAGCATCATCAGTTCAGGCATCGAAATCCCTGCCATTTCAGCTAGATTTCTGCTTCATTGTTTGTTTGGGGTGATTTGCGTTAGATTGTCACCTTTAATAGCAATTCTTGATTTTATTTACTAAAACGAGGTTGACCGTACAACGGCCGACGTTACAGCGCATTGAGCAAAATTCAACAAGACTTTGGATAGGAATTAACGTTATTGAAGTACGCCGATGATTTGAGAAGCCTCAGCTATTTAATAAACTAAATGAAAAGCTATATTTTGATTAAAAACCATGATGTTAATAGCCCGCTTCATGTTTAGTTATTATCTTAGTCCTTTGATAAGACACGCCACAGATTTCTTTGTCATTTCAACGATCGTAATCAAGAGTCTGAGCAACCCAAAGCTAAATCTCTCTACTGGCAACCCGGCCTTAAGAAAGCAGGAATAAAAAACGCACCACCGAGTTGCATTATACAGTCGTTGAAGACAATCGAGCCCGAAGTAGTTCGATTCTTCCAGGCCTTTATCACCTCACTGTCCGACGCAAATACGTAAATCGTCAACGGCTTCTCCCTGTGCAAAAAATAGGGAGGAAGAGAGAGGAACAATTTCAAATCTATCTTACCAAATTCACACATGGCACCATCCTAACTCTATTACAACTGGAATCAGTGCAAATGCCGATCCAGCAGTTGCTGTCACCCGTTAAGCACGATTCTGGTAGAAAAGCCAGAAACTGCTGAATTACGGCATTCCGGTTGTTAGACAAAACAAATTTGCATGGCTAAATATGACCTTTTGTAGGTCCAGGTCATTTATCATATTTCTTCTCATACGTACCACTGTCCATTATCCTCATTCTCTCGTCCCGAGCGCTGGTCAGTCTAGGTGCTAACTATAACTTAAGCTACTAGGGTTTGTGTGAAAGGACCGTCTTGACGTGTACGATATTGAGAAATGGGTGCAGACCTAGCCAGATGTCAGAAAAGCTTTCAAACCTACCCACCATTAGATTCAAGAGGAGAGAATGGAGTGATGGACTCACTTTCGCTGTACATAACTGATGGCCTCATCGTAAGACTGAACCGTGACAATCGGCAGAATGGGTCCGAAAATCTACACAAATGTTAACAAAGAAGTGTAAACCTTATTAGTGGGAGAAAACAAAATCGAAATAACTTTATGCATTAAAAAAGCAAGGCAGAGGATTGACCAAAAAGACATCTAGCAATGAATTGAGCTATGGAATGTTCCATGAATCAAGAATGAGAATAATACCTCCTCTTGCATAAGGACATCATCCTCTTTGACATCTTTCACGATCGTCAGTTCGATGAATTTCTCCTCAAGATGCGTTTTGCCACCGTACACCACTTCACCTCTAGTGCTTTGGAGTAGAGATGAGAGACGGCTAGGAGGCAAAGAAGACACCATACACATTGGGGGGTTAATCTTGTTAAGACTCTAAGTGATACAAATTCGTGGTCGTTCCAGACCACGAGAAAGGTATGATATGAAAGCAAATAAAAAGGAAGACGAGAGGAGTGGAGAAACCTACGCGGTATGCCTCTCATTGATGATACGAGCAAAGTCCGCCGACTCCTCCATTTTTTTACCATAGAATGTCTCCGTTATGGAGATGCACTCCTTGATAAAATTATCCTATAAAAATAAAACCATCAAAACTATCTATCTGTAGATATATCGAATCAAAATGTGCATGTCTATTCAAAAGCATAGGCAGACGAAGTTCTCTATGAAAGAAAGCATAAAACCTGATGATGTCTACTTGTACAGAAGACTTCGAGCACATTACGGTGATAAGACTCAGCCACACAACAGTGCGGCAGCTGAAACACGGTAGCGACGATCCTAGATGATGGGTCGCAACCCAAAGTATAATAATCATCCTTGTAGACATTCATTCAGTGAACGGATGGTTTGAGAGCGATGCATAATCTGCCATTAGATTGCACAAGAGATGGATTTTTCTTCAAAAACTGTAAACACACCCCGGATTTAAAGATAGAAGAGTTGAATGCTGCAGTAATTTCCTGGATCGCGTCATCACATTTGGTAAACGCAGGCGCATCACTTCACTGTGGAACCAAAACGAGCATCAAAGGAGTGGAAGCGTGCGAACTCGGTACTGCTAACGAAATGAGACAGGCTGTCTTTGAATAGCATTGATGAATTGACAAATCTTTTCGCACCCAGACTTTACATTCCAAGCATCGGTTGAACGCAAGGATGTATTATAAATATAGCAGCAGAAGACGATGTGCGAAAAGTCGCCGACATCTGGACCCACTTAAGTCTGCTAATTTCCGCCGTAAAAATTCAACAACAGAAATCCCTACAGAAATAGTGAAGGGACAGAAAAAGAGTATGGTAGCCTTGATACCTACCAGAACTTTGGCATGACAGAGGACGTAATCGGGGGCAACGCAGGTCTGACCTGCGCTGAGACCTTTAGCCCAGATCAAGCGTTTCGCCGTGAGCGCCAGATCGGCAGAAGCGTCCACGTAGACAGGGCTTGGAAGAGCAGAGAGGAAGGGAGATAGAGTAAAACCAAAAGGAAAGAAAACGCTTGCACCTATTTCGTTGGTCCACCTGGGTTCATACGATAACGTGTTGTCTCGTTTTAATCATGCATGGTATTTTGTGTAACTTTGATTCTGGCTCCAAGGTCGCTCAAAATACGAAGATTCCATGAATAATTACAATATACAACAACTTCAAGTTACATTTGACTGCCATAAAAGGGAGAATTATAATGGAATCTAACTACCTTGGTTATTATTACCACAATTCCCATGGCTGCCGTTAAAGGTAAGGTCTCAGCTTTCCTTGTGAAAAAAAATTGGGCCACACTACAGTAATTTCAAAGATAGAAAAGGCAACAAGTGAAGAGCCAGTAGGTGAGTTATTTGGTCTACGAAAAATTGAAGAAATAAATTGGACAAAAGACCAAGTAAAAGGCCCAAGGCCTGAGTTGGTGTCTCATAAACACTTACTTCAATCTGGATCCTCGGTACAACTATGATAAAACTAGGTAAGACACTCAATCCACCTTACCCCTCACATCCACTCAATCAGGCATCACTAAAGTTAGCAGACAACTTTGGGAAAGGGTCTAGGTTAGTCACACGTAGTGGCAATTATTTGTGAACTAGAGCAACTTGTACAAAGCCTCGCCAATCCTGCTAAACACAATAAAACTTCTTCCAGTTTTGCCAAGCCAATATGAAACAAAAAGCAATGGACCGCGTAAATTGCATACTCAAGTGCGACGAAGGAAGCCAAAGTGAATGAATCTGTGCTAAGCCATGATAAGAGGATCCCACCTTTTCCCACCTAGTTCGAGAGTGACGGGAGTGAGATGTTTGGCCACCTGAGAGAGGATGCTACGTGCGGCGTTCATGCCGCCAGTGTAGAACACGTGGTCGAAACGATACTTGTCCAGCAGTTGCATCGTCTCCTTCGCACCACCTGTGAACACCTGGCACACGGTCTACAAAGTGCAGTCATAGGTTAATGGGGATTGACTTGAACTCGATGGGAAAATTGGACAAGAAATTACCACTTGAAGTGTTCCAACTTCGAAGAAGAATGGTGTTGCACACATATGAGACAAGTCAGGAGAGTATTAATATTAGTGCTATCACTCCGTCCAACCTTGCTGTAGAAATATAGACATGCTGAAGAGATCTTTACCATAAATTAAAATTGACCCTGACGGCAATTGACAGTGGTGGAAAATAACCTCCAGAATTGTTAATCAGTACTTTGATGGAAATTCACCACGTCAAAAGAATGTAGTTGATTTCGTCACCGGTGACAGTCCCCATTAGAAAAATATGTTTACTTTGTATATTTGACTACGTGGGCTACTCAAATCCTCGAGGTTTGGTTATCACGCTGGTAGTATGGCATTCTGTTAGCATCGGTGACCATAACCTCTCAACGATTCCTTACACTAAAAATAAATCCACTTTTGGTAACCATTTAAAGAAAGTGGAAAAGTGCTGCGCATCAGGTAAATTTTAAAACGAGCTCTCCCAAAGCGAACAACAATTTGGCTATCGTCAGAGGTTAAATTTCCCAATCAGTCCCTTGACTGACTGAAGTACCACTCTTAACACCTTAAATATTGGTACGAAATTGCCCAGTTGACGAGTACCTCATCGACATAGGAGGGCAAGAGGTTGGCGAGGAGGGATTCTGTCTCCGGCGCCAGTTCGGAGGGCTTCAAGACCACTGCATTGCCCGCTGCGATGGCTCCAACGAAGGGAAAGAGGGACAGAAATATAGGGTAGTTCCACGCCCCAATCACCAGTACGCGGCCCAGCGGCTGTGGCTGGATGCTTACGGTATCAAACAGGCTAAGGAACGTCCGTGGGATCTGCAATGCACACGAAGATGAAATCTTACACAACGATATTTGTTTTTCGTGGAACATTTCCCACACAGACATTGATCACCATACATATGTAGCGATGGTCGACTGACGTTTTAAGGTACCGCCAATACTCTAGAACGACCTATTGACATCTAAGGTGGTCTCGTGAGCTTGCTGGTATTGCTGACAGTTTGTGCTCATTGCACTAACAAACTTCGAATAAATACGTTCACGCTGGGTAACTCCTTAGGCAATTGTCATCATAATTTTTTTTTTCATTAGATGGTTCAAATTTGATCGAAAATGCTTAATCCAACTATGCATGCCTCCTGCCACTACATCAGACGCCTGTCCTCAAGAACTCTTGGCATCACTCACCAGCGAGACGTGGAGCTCATACACGCCCAGCCGTTTAAGGGTTTGTAGACTGTTCGGGTGTGTGTGAAGGGCAAACGGAGGGAGGAAAGTATCTTAGCTCCTGACAATTAGCTAACCCAAATTGCTTCGCTCAGAACTGGAAGTCGTTTGTACATTCGCTACCAGGTTTGGTATATGTGGTGTAAACAGGTTGGCTAAGTTTGCCACAATGCAATACAATAGGTGTGGCATATTCCTAGTTTAGTGGAAGGAGGGATAGTGTTTCCACTTTTTAAGCGGCACAACTACACCAAAGCAATAAAACAACCGGCACATAGTGCCCAATTCGACTTTTAAAGCTCGGTGGCCAACTGTGCTGCTTCCTAACATTCAGCAAACCCCGTAATCCTCCCACAACCAACCTCGTGGAGGTGGAACTCGGGCTATCGCACGTTTTAGCGTTCGATGACACTCCCATCCATCAGGCAGAGAAAATTGTGATATCTAGGTGGATGGATAACACTTGCAAGGGGGTAGAAAAGGGTCTATCAAAAAATGCCCAGGCAGTACGGATTGGACACTAAAGCAAACTCCATGAGAGGTGTTAATATCCACACAAGATCACATAAACTCATAAAAAACTGCCAAAAAGTAGAGAAATTTCAAACAGATATACTTCTTGCCTCAAGCATCCATTGGCCGTACCCTATTCCAATTTCAGCATGAAATTTATGAACAATAGTCAAATTTACTTTCAGCAAAGTCAGACTTACCGATGCGCCAGTATCACTTAGATAAACTAGCTGAGTGGAGGGCAAAGCAGTCAGCAAACCCACTGACTTGTCACTCAGAAAGGGGTTTCCAGAGACGTCTATAATGATAAGACCAGATGATTTGTAGTATCGACCATGTGCGGTGAGCGAGCGAACGGCGTCGTTGCTGAGGTGGTTGTAACGCAACGACAGAAATCGGAGTGTCGGACTGGCGGCACCAAGAAGGGGTAATATAGGCAAGTGCTGCGTACCCAAATGGCAGGCATCGAGGCAGAGCGAGGTGAGACTGCAACCGCTCAGCAACCCAGTTATCCACACTGTGAGGAGGGGAGACGGTGTTAGCCGAAAGGAGGAGAGAAAGGCAGCTCCATAGGCCTCCGAAAAAAGCCTAATATAGGAAGTCAGAGTGTAGATTGTGAAGGAATCCTGTTTGAGTAAAATGGCTCTCGAGATCTGCCTGCCCAAGTGATCAGGAACGCCGCGGAGATCGGCGATGCTGCAATAGTTTTCGGCCAACTTGAGGCAACATAAATGTACCAGCGGCAGCATACTACAATGAAGCTGCGATAAGTTTGCGCACCCACACGTGCACAGTCCTCTTGACCACTTATGGACAATTAGAAATACACATTTATGCACTTTATTCGTACTGTTTGCACAAAATACATTATCGTCGAGGATATTTCTCGGTATAACAACGTCCGCCATCAGCAGAAATGCTTATGCGACAGTGCTGATTGAGTAGTGTGCCTAAGACAGCAGGAACAGGAAGGGGATCATCGAGAGCAAGTTTTTCCGGATCCTCCAACTCGTCCAACGGCACCGTCTTCTCATCCTCATCTTCCGAGTCAGAGAGAACGAGAACTTCGCTCTCAGTGGCTAAATTCAGATGCACACAATTGAGTTTATTAACGGAAGCATCGACAACCAGATCGGCAACATAACCAGCAAGCTGGGATTCAGGCCACATCGACTGACGAGCGAAGAGCGCCGTCAAGCGTGCTTCCACAGAGTCATCAGGGAGATCTTCACTTGGTAGGTAAGTGATACTCCTCTGTTGGGTGAGGGAGGAGACCTCGCAGTAAGCACGACCAGTGCAGGTGAGGTGCCGATGTAAACGTGGCTGCAGGCCGTGGGGTACGGTGGCACACCAAACTGATACAAAGTCGCTGAAGGCTATCTTCCCTGTGATTGACAGTATGCTCTCGCCAATGAGACGACAAATTTTCCCGCGTCGTGGAAAAATCGCCCTGTTCTCTGCACACCTCTTACGATAGAAAAAGCGCTGGAATACCTGATGGAGAACGGATGAAGGATAGAGATCTTCCAGTCGAGTTATCACATCTTGAGGGTTAGAAAAACCCGTTTGTGACCAGTTCAATGATAGCTCATCAGCCATGTCAAAAATTGCCTGTAAAACCTATAGAGAGATGAGATAAGATAGTACCCAAACAAAATGGAATAAATAAGTCTAAAATGAAACAGAGTAAACTTACACGACTAAGGTAATCCAACTGAAACAAACGACAACAGCCTTCCCATGGGAAGACGTTAAGTCTGTCCATAGCATATAGCAGTTCAGCTTCGCTACATGGGATCGATATGCAGAGTTCCTCAAATGTAGAGAACTTGGCCAACTCGCCAATTTGCGCATCATCTTCTTCGATATGATTGGAGAAGGCTGCAGGTAGAAGATATTGTTTTAATTTACGAAGACTTGGTGCTCGGATGGTCAACAGTTCGAGGTACACCGTTTTAATCGAAGCTACAGTGCATCTAGTGACCCTTGATTCATCCACCGTCCAAAACCTGTCCAGTGGAATTGTCGGTATTTTCAAATCAGGCACCAAAAGCAGAGAATTTGATGTCTCCGCTTCCAGGAAACGCTGTGTTGTCGTAGCGGTGCACAAGAACGCAGGACTATCACCGTGACTACTGTTTTCTGATTTGATATTCGCAGCGAATTCAGTTGAATAGAGTAATTGGTCCGCCAGCGCTGGTGTGATTTCGAGAAGATAAGTATCCCTGTCGAACGGGTTATCACTTAGGATTACTAACTGGGAGCTTTTAAGGAAGTTTTTTGTGACGGAAGATACATGTTCTAGCAACTTGAAAACATCACTGTCCGACCTAGACGGAACCATTGAACGAGTTGTACCGCCTTGACCATCATAAAGGCGTTGCAACAGTTAAAAACAACCGAAGTAAAAGGCCACTGTTATCAAGATAATGCATTAAGTACTTTTCAACCTTTAAGTATTAATCAGTTAATTTTAATATTAAGTAACTTAGGCATTAAGTTTGTTTATGTTGTGCACGTGTATAATGTAAGAAAACCGTGCAAGAACCACAATATTATTTGTTAATGCAAGGTTTCAAGGGATTTTTCAGATTTGTAGAAATTTGTTAACATGACAGCCTTTGACAGTTAAAATTTTTTGCATACCTCAGGAGATTCGGAAGGCTGTATGTGTAGCCACCCGAGACCCCTCTGGGGACGGAGACATAACACTCGAACAGAATATGCGTATTAGGCACACAGAACATGTTAGTGCTACTTGAGTGACCCGAAGACCAGCCCACCTAACGAAGTGCAATGTTCAAGTCAAAATGGCCCTTTATTAAGACCGACCGCCAAACTAACAACCAACGTATTACATAGGACTTCTCCTCTCCCCAGTGCTCCCCTTAGTCAACCTCCGCGTCAGCCACCACAGCGTTGTCGGTGCTGTGATTAAGCACTCGTAGGCCACTCGTGTTGCAAATCAAATTTCTATGCAACTTAGGAGATACTTGATCGCAGCGTTAGTGTAGCGTCCCGAGACTCCCTGGAGTGAATGAAGACAGAATACTCGGGCAAAATATATATTCAGCGCAGAGAAGATGTCTGGGCTATTGGCCTGGCCCGAAAGCTAGCCCAGCCAGTGAGGTACAAGAAGGCTAATTCAAGGTACAAAAAGTGGCGCCTCACCAATACCAGGTGATAAACCACTATCGTATTACATTAATTATCCCCGTTGGCAATTCAGTTGGATCTGAAGTTTCATCCGGTTTGAGAATTGGATTTAGGAAAGGACGATTCTGCTGGCCATCATGCATATCCTTAGATAAACGAAGGAACACTGGCCTAAAAGCCGATTTGTGTAAGAAAGGACGGAATTTAGCATAGGTCCTTGGGGAAGGGTTTCGCGTCTGTTCCTCCTTGCCATGTTGTTCTCACCTCAGAACTGCTCATTCATATCTATCCGGACTCTATCTAGCTAGAAGGGAGATGAAGGAGGCATCACGAGTTTACTTTATTAACAACCTTATGCGAGTACGGTGGGAATTCTCTGCACCCAATCTTTTCCTGGTGTTTCAAGGCTAGTGTCACTTCAGTTGTCAATAGCTTTCCTCAGAACATGGGACTGGGGAAGTTGCCGAAAGTAGGCAGCAAATTCAGCCCATCGTTTGTGGTCATCACCATTTCTACTATTTGTAGCATATGAACTTCTTCCTCCCAGCTAAGGTTTATCACTCGGCGGTAGAAATCTAGAAGTATCTTTTAAAATCGGTTCATATTCCGCTGCCACCAATGTAGCGCCATGAGACTTCCCTAAAGATGAAGGAAGGCATAATACTCGGACAGAATATATATATAATGTAGATATTCGACATGCGGAAGGCATTAGGGCTACTCAGATGGCCCGAAGGCCAGCCCACCCGGCGGGGTACAGTGGCAAAGACAAAGTGGCCCTTTACCGAAACCGACCGCTAAACATGAGGTCTGGCGGTTGTAAAGTGGGTGCTTAAAGGCCAAATTATTTAAGTATACTTTTGAAAATATTGCTCCCCATTATTGCCTTACTAAGAGCCATGCTGTTATTTGTGAGATTGAATTTTAACGATGGAGTGTCATTCACTTTGTTAAATGTATAAGTACATGGGCTGTGTACGAGATCTACCAACAAGTACAGCACCCTGAGTTTTCCTCACAATCAAAGAAACTACAATAGTAAGGCAAAAAAATATTGACGTACAGAAAGGCTGAGAAGCCACTGGCATTTTCTAGGGGCATTAACGCCTAGTTCAAATGCGGGCAACAAGGACTTAAGTGCCTGTGGAAACGTCTGGACCCATATTTACCCTGGAATGTAATACAATCTGAATTTAATTAATGTTTCATGTCTCTATTATGAATAGTGTGCATGTGGGCTTCCCAGCCTCTGGAGTTTGCATCTCCGCCCGAAGTCAAGGCCCTTTGCTCACCCCGGGTCTTATTACGTTAGAAACTAATCCGCCTCCGTACTGACATTACTTGATACAGCTTTAGGAAAGGCTTATAGCGCTGCATATATGTACACGCACCCAAACAAGCCATATTTTCAAAATCCCATTGTGAGGAAGTTAGCAACTGTGCGACAAGAACTGACGCAAGCAACCCAAACTCGCACATACTGCCCAAAAACGAACAAGTCTTCACACCTTTCCTCGCGAAACGGCACTAGGCGGCATGAGAACTACATCCTAGCATCTCCAAAAACTATCTTTCCACTCTTGATATGGATAACACCGCAATACCGGAGCAAACCGTTACCTACTTCATCGGACCACTGGTTCACGCAGGTCATTCAGTCTCCGAGTTCCCTACGACACAGTTGCCTGGGACGGCACAGCACACCGTCCTCCGTTAACAGACAGATGAATTGGGGAACATTCGCACCTAAAAACTACAACACTCCCGTATGCTTTCCACGACGTTTGCATACACCTTGATGCACCCAGTGCCAAACAAAATCTTGTTCCCACAAAAAGACGACTCCTGCATGCGAGGAGCGCTGAAATACTTTCGAGATCGGGCATTTGATTTGACAAAAACACTATGAGTATGTAGCGGTTACTTGGTTGAAATAAGTAACACCGGAACAACGTATTTTGCCGTAAAAAGAAGACGCTATGAAAGACTTATCAAGTGTATGCAGGGACAAATATATGAGTGTCATATAAAGAAAAGGCTAAGCAGAAATGATTGGGAGTACTCCTAAGATAGGAAGGGTGGATGGCAACGCTTCAAGGTCCTATGAGATGGTACACCTGGAGTCACCTTTTGAGAGGCCCCAACGTACCCACTTCTCGCTGCTCTCCGTGTACGGTGGGTAGCGGAACCTACAGTTGGAGAGCAAGAGGAGGTGATTGAAATACGCCACTACTGATATAAACGGGGATAGTGTTGAGGAAAATAAATTATCAGTCGGAAATGAGGTAAATGCGCTTCAATCTTTGGCATTAAAATAAGCATTTATAGACTGGAGACTCGTTATTAAGGGGTGAACGGGAAAAATTTAGGTGAAAGAATAAAAACTGGAATTACAAATTGTTGAATTTCTCCACGGTAGACTTATCCAACAGCGAGCGAGGGTTCGAAAAGGCGTCGATGGACGCTTGGCCAAAGTATCGCCCCGTGCCGGAGTTACCAACACCACCGAAGGGTAAATTACGTACTAGATTGAGGTAATGAGAAAGAGAATAAAGTCATTCTTCCACCATTATCACCGGAGGCCTAAAAGCCCCTTAACAAGCTGTAGCATGGCAGGAAACATGCAACCACGCATCTGACTATATCGGCTTCTCCAGTCTCCCGACATGCGGCCCTCATGATGGCCGCACAGTCATCCGCTCATAGCAGCCGCAGTTCCAAGTGCCAACGATGTTTTTTAAGAGTAATATTATAATGTAAAACCCGTTTTCGTCTAAGACAACCAGTTTTATGAACCATTGTTAAGTTTGAAAATGATAAGATTTAACCCGGTGGATCCGAGCATCATCAGTTCAGGCATCGAAATCCCTGCCATTTCAGCTAGATTTCTGCTTCATTGTTTGTTTGGGGTGATTTGCGTTAGATTGTCACCTTTAATAGCAATTCTTGATTTTATTTACTAAAACGAGGTTGACCGTACAACGGCCGACGTTACAGCGCATTGAGCAAAATTCAACAAGACTTTGGATAGGAATTAACGTTATTGAAGTACGCCGATGATTTGAGAAGCCTCAGCTATTTAATAAACTAAATGAAAAGCTATATTTTGATTAAAAACCATGATGTTAATAGCCCGCTTCATGTTTAGTTATTATCTTAGTCCTTTGATAAGACACGCCACAGATTTCTTTGTCATTTCAACGATCGTAATCAAGAGTCTGAGCAACCCAAAGCTAAATCTCTCTACTGGCAACCCGGCCTTAAGAAAGCAGGAATAAAAAACGCACCACCGAGTTGCATTATACAGTCGTTGAAGACAATCGAGCCCGAAGTAGTTCGATTCTTCCAGGCCTTTATCACCTCACTGTCCGACGCAAATACGTAAATCGTCAACGGCTTCTCCCTGTGCAAAAAATAGGGAGGAAGAGAGAGGAACAATTTCAAATCTATCTTACCAAATTCACACATGGCACCATCCTAACTCTATTACAACTGGAATCAGTGCAAATGCCGATCCAGCAGTTGCTGTCACCCGTTAAGCACGATTCTGGTAGAAAAGCCAGAAACTGCTGAATTACGGCATTCCGGTTGTTAGACAAAACAAATTTGCATGGCTAAATATGACCTTTTGTAGGTCCAGGTCATTTATCATATTTCTTCTCATACGTACCACTGTCCATTATCCTCATTCTCTCGTCCCGAGCGCTGGTCAGTCTAGGTGCTAACTATAACTTAAGCTACTAGGGTTTGTGTGAAAGGACCGTCTTGACGTGTACGATATTGAGAAATGGGTGCAGACCTAGCCAGATGTCAGAAAAGCTTTCAAACCTACCCACCATTAGATTCAAGAGGAGAGAATGGAGTGATGGACTCACTTTCGCTGTACATAACTGATGGCCTCATCGTAAGACTGAACCGTGACAATCGGCAGAATGGGTCCGAAAATCTACACAAATGTTAACAAAGAAGTGTAAACCTTATTAGTGGGAGAAAACAAAATCGAAATAACTTTATGCATTAAAAAAGCAAGGCAGAGGATTGACCAAAAAGACATCTAGCAATGAATTGAGCTATGGAATGTTCCATGAATCAAGAATGAGAATAATACCTCCTCTTGCATAAGGACATCATCCTCTTTGACATCTTTCACGATCGTCAGTTCGATGAATTTCTCCTCAAGATGCGTTTTGCCACCGTACACCACTTCACCTCTAGTGCTTTGGAGTAGAGATGAGAGACGGCTAGGAGGCAAAGAAGACACCATACACATTGGGGGGTTAATCTTGTTAAGACTCTAAGTGATACAAATTCGTGGTCGTTCCAGACCACGAGAAAGGTATGATATGAAAGCAAATAAAAAGGAAGACGAGAGGAGTGGAGAAACCTACGCGGTATGCCTCTCATTGATGATACGAGCAAAGTCCGCCGACTCCTCCATTTTTTTACCATAGAATGTCTCCGTTATGGAGATGCACTCCTTGATAAAATTATCCTATAAAAATAAAACCATCAAAACTATCTATCTGTAGATATATCGAATCAAAATGTGCATGTCTATTCAAAAGCATAGGCAGACGAAGTTCTCTATGAAAGAAAGCATAAAACCTGATGATGTCTACTTGTACAGAAGACTTCGAGCACATTACGGTGATAAGACTCAGCCACACAACAGTGCGGCAGCTGAAACACGGTAGCGACGATCCTAGATGATGGGTCGCAACCCAAAGTATAATAATCATCCTTGTAGACATTCATTCAGTGAACGGATGGTTTGAGAGCGATGCATAATCTGCCATTAGATTGCACAAGAGATGGATTTTTCTTCAAAAACTGTAAACACACCCCGGATTTAAAGATAGAAGAGTTGAATGCTGCAGTAATTTCCTGGATCGCGTCATCACATTTGGTAAACGCAGGCGCATCACTTCACTGTGGAACCAAAACGAGCATCAAAGGAGTGGAAGCGTGCGAACTCGGTACTGCTAACGAAATGAGACAGGCTGTCTTTGAATAGCATTGATGAATTGACAAATCTTTTCGCACCCAGACTTTACATTCCAAGCATCGGTTGAACGCAAGGATGTATTATAAATATAGCAGCAGAAGACGATGTGCGAAAAGTCGCCGACATCTGGACCCACTTAAGTCTGCTAATTTCCGCCGTAAAAATTCAACAACAGAAATCCCTACAGAAATAGTGAAGGGACAGAAAAAGAGTATGGTAGCCTTGATACCTACCAGAACTTTGGCATGACAGAGGACGTAATCGGGGGCAACGCAGGTCTGACCTGCGCTGAGACCTTTAGCCCAGATCAAGCGTTTCGCCGTGAGCGCCAGATCGGCAGAAGCGTCCACGTAGACAGGGCTTGGAAGAGCAGAGAGGAAGGGAGATAGAGTAAAACCAAAAGGAAAGAAAACGCTTGCACCTATTTCGTTGGTCCACCTGGGTTCATACGATAACGTGTTGTCTCGTTTTAATCATGCATGGTATTTTGTGTAACTTTGATTCTGGCTCCAAGGTCGCTCAAAATACGAAGATTCCATGAATAATTACAATATACAACAACTTCAAGTTACATTTGACTGCCATAAAAGGGAGAATTATAATGGAATCTAACTACCTTGGTTATTATTACCACAATTCCCATGGCTGCCGTTAAAGGTAAGGTCTCAGCTTTCCTTGTGAAAAAAAATTGGGCCACACTACAGTAATTTCAAAGATAGAAAAGGCAACAAGTGAAGAGCCAGTAGGTGAGTTATTTGGTCTACGAAAAATTGAAGAAATAAATTGGACAAAAGACCAAGTAAAAGGCCCAAGGCCTGAGTTGGTGTCTCATAAACACTTACTTCAATCTGGATCCTCGGTACAACTATGATAAAACTAGGTAAGACACTCAATCCACCTTACCCCTCACATCCACTCAATCAGGCATCACTAAAGTTAGCAGACAACTTTGGGAAAGGGTCTAGGTTAGTCACACGTAGTGGCAATTATTTGTGAACTAGAGCAACTTGTACAAAGCCTCGCCAATCCTGCTAAACACAATAAAACTTCTTCCAGTTTTGCCAAGCCAATATGAAACAAAAAGCAATGGACCGCGTAAATTGCATACTCAAGTGCGACGAAGGAAGCCAAAGTGAATGAATCTGTGCTAAGCCATGATAAGAGGATCCCACCTTTTCCCACCTAGTTCGAGAGTGACGGGAGTGAGATGTTTGGCCACCTGAGAGAGGATGCTACGTGCGGCGTTCATGCCGCCAGTGTAGAACACGTGGTCGAAACGATACTTGTCCAGCAGTTGCATCGTCTCCTTCGCACCACCTGTGAACACCTGGCACACGGTCTACAAAGTGCAGTCATAGGTTAATGGGGATTGACTTGAACTCGATGGGAAAATTGGACAAGAAATTACCACTTGAAGTGTTCCAACTTCGAAGAAGAATGGTGTTGCACACATATGAGACAAGTCAGGAGAGTATTAATATTAGTGCTATCACTCCGTCCAACCTTGCTGTAGAAATATAGACATGCTGAAGAGATCTTTACCATAAATTAAAATTGACCCTGACGGCAATTGACAGTGGTGGAAAATAACCTCCAGAATTGTTAATCAGTACTTTGATGGAAATTCACCACGTCAAAAGAATGTAGTTGATTTCGTCACCGGTGACAGTCCCCATTAGAAAAATATGTTTACTTTGTATATTTGACTACGTGGGCTACTCAAATCCTCGAGGTTTGGTTATCACGCTGGTAGTATGGCATTCTGTTAGCATCGGTGACCATAACCTCTCAACGATTCCTTACACTAAAAATAAATCCACTTTTGGTAACCATTTAAAGAAAGTGGAAAAGTGCTGCGCATCAGGTAAATTTTAAAACGAGCTCTCCCAAAGCGAACAACAATTTGGCTATCGTCAGAGGTTAAATTTCCCAATCAGTCCCTTGACTGACTGAAGTACCACTCTTAACACCTTAAATATTGGTACGAAATTGCCCAGTTGACGAGTACCTCATCGACATAGGAGGGCAAGAGGTTGGCGAGGAGGGATTCTGTCTCCGGCGCCAGTTCGGAGGGCTTCAAGACCACTGCATTGCCCGCTGCGATGGCTCCAACGAAGGGAAAGAGGGACAGAAATATAGGGTAGTTCCACGCCCCAATCACCAGTACGCGGCCCAGCGGCTGTGGCTGGATGCTTACGGTATCAAACAGGCTAAGGAACGTCCGTGGGATCTGCAATGCACACGAAGATGAAATCTTACACAACGATATTTGTTTTTCGTGGAACATTTCCCACACAGACATTGATCACCATACATATGTAGCGATGGTCGACTGACGTTTTAAGGTACCGCCAATACTCTAGAACGACCTATTGACATCTAAGGTGGTCTCGTGAGCTTGCTGGTATTGCTGACAGTTTGTGCTCATTGCACTAACAAACTTCGAATAAATACGTTCACGCTGGGTAACTCCTTAGGCAATTGTCATCATAATTTTTTTTTTCATTAGATGGTTCAAATTTGATCGAAAATGCTTAATCCAACTATGCATGCCTCCTGCCACTACATCAGACGCCTGTCCTCAAGAACTCTTGGCATCACTCACCAGCGAGACGTGGAGCTCATACACGCCCAGCCGTTTAAGGGTTTGTAGACTGTTCGGGTGTGTGTGAAGGGCAAACGGAGGGAGGAAAGTATCTTAGCTCCTGACAATTAGCTAACCCAAATTGCTTCGCTCAGAACTGGAAGTCGTTTGTACATTCGCTACCAGGTTTGGTATATGTGGTGTAAACAGGTTGGCTAAGTTTGCCACAATGCAATACAATAGGTGTGGCATATTCCTAGTTTAGTGGAAGGAGGGATAGTGTTTCCACTTTTTAAGCGGCACAACTACACCAAAGCAATAAAACAACCGGCACATAGTGCCCAATTCGACTTTTAAAGCTCGGTGGCCAACTGTGCTGCTTCCTAACATTC